CATTACTACAAATTAAGATAGCCGCTGATCGCCATTACTACAAATTAAGACAGCCGCTGATCGCCATTACTACAAATTAAGACAGCCACTAATCGCCATTACTACAAATTAAGACAGCCGCTGATCGCCATTACTACAAATTAAGACAGCCGCTGATCGCCATTACTACAAATTAAGACAGCCGCTGATCGCCATTACTACAAATTAAGACAGCTGCTGATCGCCATTACTACAAATTAAGACAGCCACTGATCGCCGCCATTACTACTATGAATTAAAACAAAAAAAAAAATTACCAGTATATATACACTATCATTTGTAGACGCCACAGTTTTCACGCAAACCAATTAATATACACTTAATGAATTTTTTTTTACCAAACACATGTAGCAGAATACATTTTGGCCTAAATTTATGAAAAAATTTGAATATATTTTAGAACAACATAGAAAACATTGTTTTTTCCCCTAAACTTTTCAGTCTTTTTTAGTTTATATCATCAAAAAAAATAAACAATGGTGATCAAATACCACCAAAAGAAAGCTCTATTTGTGTGAAAAAAATTATATCAATTTAATTATGGTACAGTGTTGCATGGCCACGCAATTGCCAGTTTAAGTAGCGCAATGCCGAACAGCAATACAATTCCCTTATCATGAAGGGGGTAAAACCTTCTAGAGGTCAAGTAGTTAATGCCCTGTTTGCCAAACACACCTTGCAAGTCCAAAAACACATTGTGTTTTTATTTGTTTTGTTTTTTTTTTAGACACGTCAATTTTTCCCAGGTGACCAGGGATGAAAATGCATGTAAAACGCATTAGGCATTGCCTTCAAATTTTGACGCAGTGCAATAAAAATGCGCTAAAAAAACCTGATGTATGGTTTAAAAAAAAAAAAATGCATAAAGAAGAGTGTCTCCCCTGAATTGTCTGCATATTAGAGAAGCACAGATCAGCCAACATTCCAGACAGCACAAACGACAGAGTGGATCAGCAGCCTAGAACACTATAAATGCCATTCACACCCTGTTGCTGCCAAATCAAATGGGCTTATATGGTACAACCGAACCCAGCAACAGACTAAGACCTGTGGCACTCTTGGGCCTTATTATTTATCATTTCACCTAATAAAATGGAGGTTACTAAATGGTATTTGCCACCAGACACAAGCCAAGAACTAGCACCGTACATGTCACATAGGAAAGCTGCCCACCTTCCTCACCTTACAGCGAACACTGCAGCACTGCACCTCTTCTACAGGTCTGTCTATGTGGAGGACAGGAAGACAGCAGAGTCCCCAGCACCTGACCTGTGCCCTCCTAGCAGCAGGACTCAGCTGGAGGAGGAGAAAACCAGACCTGTAACACAGAAAGGAAGTGCTCGTCTGTTCAATAATTAATAAAGTTTTTTTTTTTCAAGACTCACATTTCCCTCAAGCCCCCACCGCTGCCGAATGCAAGAGCACGCCCGCATCGCTCTGATTGGCGACCGGGGCAAGGGGGTGGAGTAACGATGAACATCTTCTTGAGTTGGTTTATTGGTACTCGTGTGTATTTGAATTATTGCCGAATACCTGACCTCGGCACATGACAGGCAAAGTGCCGGTCAGCCTTGGTCACGTGACATAGACGTAGTTTCTTCAGCTAGTCGGCTTCCGTAGCGTCATTCTTGTTGCCGTTGGTGACTAGCTGCGCCCCTAGGGGTGTGTGTTTTCTAAACCGACTACTTTTCTCAGCCAATCAGATTTGGCAGAAGCCAAACGAGCGTTACATCCTCCAATAGCAAACGGCGGTTTGTACTGGCGGCGGCAGTAACGACATACGCAATCCGGAGGTGACTGATAGAGATTGAGGTGTCCACTGTGATTTGGGGGAGGTGAGTTCATCTCGTACCACTAGAAAGGACCGTCTGTGTGTGTACTCGGTATAGGTCAGTGAGTGAACGATGCCTGGAGCCAGTCACTATATACTAGAGTTATTATTATTATACAGGATTTATAGAGCGCCGACAGTTTGCTCAGCACTTTACAATATAAAGGGAGACGTTACAATACATTTCAGTACATAAGGAATAGGGGGTCCTCAGGGGCGGACTGACCATTTGGAAACTCGGGCACTGCCCGAGGGCCCGGGGTCAGTAGGGGGCCCCATGAGATGCCCATGGTACCTTTTTCATAGGCTTTTTTGAGTTTGGGGAAGCACACAGGGGCCCCATTATCCCCTATTGCCCAGGGGCCCCATGAGTTGTCAGTCTGCCCCTGGGGGCCCTGCTTGTGGAGCTTACAATCTAAAGGAAGGGGGAGGTGGTACAAAAGGTGATAGCTGTAGGTGATGGAGGTGATTCAAGTACAGTTCTTTGGTGGAGGTGGAGTAGGCTTCCCTGAATAAGATAGTTTTCAAAGATCCTCTAAAGGAAGACAGGGTGGAGGCTGACTGGACATACTGGGGTAGTGAGTTCCAGAGAATGGGAGAGACTCTGGAGAAGTCCTGGAGGCGAGTGTGGGAGGAGGTGATGAGGAAGCTAGAGAGCAAGATGCCTTGGGAGGAAGGGGATGAGGTGGGATTCCTACTATATACTCTGGCACTAATTATTTGTTGTTCGTGCAACTGGATCGTACTTGCCAACTAGGGCTGCTACCTCATCCCTTTAAAACCAAACTCATATTAATTACACATGTTCTGGGGCTGATTAACCACTTCCCTAGTGAGCTATATCCAAATGATGGCTACAGCTAGGTTGTCATATGACATCCTCCCAGAACGTGCCCCCGGCACTGTCTGTGATAGCTGTGTCCCTTGGACACAGCTGATCACATGATATGGTAAAAGGACAATCACAGCTGACCACTATGTAAATACACTTGACAGTTATCGGCAGCACTTGCCTTATGCTGTCAATATCCGCCAACTGTCAAAGGAGACATTTGCACTGACAATCGGGGCACTGATTATATTCAGTGTAGCCCCAAAAGTGTCCAACAGTGCTGCCCATCAGTTCCCAACAGTGCTTCCAATCTGTGCCACCAGTCAGGGCATTTCAGTGCTATCTAATATTGCTCATCAGTGCCCACCAGTGATGTCTCATCAGTGCAGCCTCATCAATGCACATTGGTGTAGGAGAAAAATTACCCGTTTGCAAAATTTTATGATAGAAACAAAGAAAAGCTTGTTTTTAAAAAAAAAAACTTTGCTCTTATTTTTGTTTATAGTGCAAAAAATAAAGAAAAACCCAGTGGTGATTAAATACCACCAAAAGAAAGCTCTATCTGTGTGAAAAAAATGATAAACATTTCATATGAGTGCAGTGTTGCATGACCGCAGTTGCTGTTCAGCCTGGGTTAACACTGATGCAGTGCGGCATATCGCATGTGAATCACACAGGAAGTGCACCGCATTTCTGTGATTTGTGTGTGGTGCGATCGGAGCCATACATTTTGTATGGCTCAAATCGCATCACATCTGCACCAAAAACGTGCAGGATCCTTTTTTTGGTCTGCACAAGAATCAGATTGCATGGGTTTTCACACCTATGCAATCCAATTCTGCACATCGCACCGCGTTTTGCGGACCGATTTCAGAGTGTTGTTAACATACACACCCGCAGCAGTTTGCATGAATGGGGTGTGATTGTGATGCGGTGCGAAATTTGCACAGAAAACGCTGAGAATTCCGCACCGCATCAGTGTGAACCCAGGCTCATAGTGCGACAGCCCTGAAAGCTGAAAATGAACCTGGGCAGGAATGGGGTAAAATTGCCCAGCAGGGAAGTGGTTAAAGTGATAATTAAACTCACTTGGGGGTCAATTCACTAAGAGATGAATACTGCATGAATTTATAAGTTAATATAACTCATGCGGTATTTATTTCAAAAATAGTTCACTAAAAAACATGCATTATTTGCCAAATGTTAAATATTTGTTTTGAGATATTTTTGGTGAGTTTTTTTCACAATTTTTTTTGCAGGCTAACATTCCACCAGAATGCACACAGCAATACTGTGAAACTATGAAAACGTAGTGTGCTTTTATTCACAGAATGATCTCCCTCTGATGAAATGTTACAATTTATTTTCATTGCTGAACTCAGAGGAGAACATTTTACACTGATACATTGTATACTTTTCACTTTCTGGCCAGGGCAGAGTTCCTCTGATTGTTATTTTGTACATTTCTAAAATACCGCCAGCAAACACCTGGTGATAAATAACGAATGTGTGTTTTTTTTTTTTTTTTTTTTAGCCAGAGGATTTACCCCCCTTCCTGACCAGGCCATTTTTTGCGATGCGGCGCTGCGTTACTTTAACTGACAATTGCGCGGTCATGCAGCGCTGCACCAAATTAAATTTCCATCCTTTTATCCCCCACAATTAGAGCTTTCTTTCGGTGGTTAATCGTCTGCATGGTTTATATTTTTTTGTGCTATAACAAAAAAAAAAGGCCGACAATTTTGAGAAAAAAAAAATATGTTTTACTTTTTGCTATTAAACATGTCCAGATTGCCGCTATATATATTTTTAGACGCTATATCTTTCACGTAAACCAATTAATATACAGTTATTGGGATTTTGTTTTAGTAAAGACATGTAGCAGAATACATTTTGGCCTAAATTTATGAAGAATTTTATTTTTTTACTTTTCTTACTAGATATGTTCTATAGCAAAAAGTCAAAAATATACTTTTTTTTTTTGAAAATTGTCAGTATTTTTTTGTTTATAGCGCAAAAAATAAAAACCGCAGAGGTGATAAAATACTACCAAAAGAAAGCTCTATTTGTGGGAAAAAAATGACATGCATTTCATTTATGTACAGCGTTGCATGACCGTGCAATTGTCAGTTAAAGTAACGCAGTGCCGTTTCACAAAAAATGGCCTGGTCAGGAAGTGGGGTAAATCCTCTGGAGGGCAAGTGGTTAATGTGTGGCAACTCTATATCCCAGCTGTCCTTCTTTAGTAGCCAAATCACTCATTCATTCATAAATGCTCCATCTTTAGCTCAAAGTGGAGATCTGTTTAAAGCAGGGGCGGACTGACAACTCATGGGGCCCCCGGGCAATAGGGGATCATGGGGCCCCTGTCTCCTTGCCCAAACTCAATAAAGCCTATGAAAAAGGTACCAGGGTCATCTCATGGGGCCCCCTACTGACCCGGGCCCTCATGCAGTGCCTGAGTTTCCAAATGGTCAGTCCACCCCTGGTTTAAAGCATTGTGTTTTTTTACTTTCTGTGCTATTTTACTAAGTTGTTTTTTAAGACACTAATGCCCCATTCACACTTTACAATGTGTTGCCGTGCATTTATTTTTTCTGAAACAGTGTAGGGGAGCCCATTCATTTAAATAGGCTGCCCTACACATTACAAATATGCCAAAGTAGCTCCTATGCCCTTTTTTGGAGCAGACTTTGGTGCATTTTTTTTTTGAACAGGGCATTTAATCTTCACGTGATGCAGTTTTCTGCAATTGCAGTGCAATTTATTGTGCTAGAACCTCACTCAAATGTGCATTCCATGTTTGGCAGGTTATTCCAGAAACAAGCACAGATACGTGCATTTCCCCTATGCTCAGGTGTGATTGGGGCCTAAACTTCTTAGCCTTCCATCCATCAGAATATAGTATTGGGTTATTAACCACCTGTCCAGGCCAATTTTCAGCTTTCAGCGTTGTCAAACTTTGACAATTGCGCAGTCATGGGACACTGTATCCATATGAAATTTTTATAATTTTTTTTCCACACAAATAGAGCTTTCTTTTGGTGATATTTATTCCCCGCTGAGTGTTTTATTCTTTGCGCTATAAACAAAAAAAAAGCAAAACATTTTTTAAAAGTTTCTTTGTTTCTATTATAAAATTTTGTAAACGGGTAACTTTTCTACTTCACTGATGTTGATGAGGCAGCACTGAAGGGCACTGCTGGGCAGCACTGAAGGGCACTGCTGGGCAGCACTGAAGGGCACTGATGATCAGTGCCAATCCCTTTGCTGACAATTGCCGGTTATCGGCAATACTTTCCTCATGCTGTGACAGCGTAAGGAAAGTGCAGCCGATAACCGTCAACTGCATTTACCCGGTGATCTGCTGTGTAATTGGACACAGCTGATCACATTGTAAAAGACGGCCGTGATTGGCCCTTTACCGTATCCTGTGATCCCTGACAGCGTGCCGCTGGGGGCACGCAGGGGGCGTGTTTTGGAATGATGTCCATGGACGTTGTCCCAGAACCAGAGAACCGCACTGTAGCCATCCTTCGGCTATAGCATGGTTGGGAACTGGTTAAACAAAAAAAAAAAAAAACAAAGGAAAAAAAGGCTTCATTCACACTTCGCCGCTTTGAAAACGCATTTTCAGAAACACAGCAAAATGTGCAATGTGCTTCTGGTGCCATTAAGTGATTCTAAAGGCTGAAAGCTTTTTTACCTTCATGCATTCTTAACCCCTTGGCGGCGACCGTACGCAAATATGTGGCCTCTCGGCAGCTGGGCCTGACCCCCTTCCTTCCTTGACCCCAGTTGTAGCTGGGAGGGATCTACTGTTGAGTGAGGGGTCTGTATTCTCTAAAAGAGTGGTGCTCAGAGGTGGGTAGGGGGGCCGAGACAATAGGTGACTCAGAAAAGGGGAGTTCCTGCACCTATTTTCTGAGGGAAAAAAAGCCTTGGTTACAATTATTGATTTTATTTTTAATTGCTTTTATTGTCACTGTTTTTTCTAATGGCATCCTAAACACAATGTGATCCATTGAGCATGGTTTCCTATGGGACATGTTCATGTGATTTTTTTTTTTTTTTTTTTTTTTTTTTTTTTTTTTAAGCTGCTGCATTTTTGGAAATGGTCATGGACTTTCTTGTACGCAAAATGTTGCGTTTTTGGTTCAATAGACTTTAAAGGATGCGCTGCAGAAAAGGCATGTATTCACGCATTTGCCAAGTTTTTGATTTGTTTTGCAAAGAGCGTCAAAGATGAAAAACGGACAAAATGCAGACTGCAGTGGTGTGAACCAGCCCTGAACTGCATTGAAAACACAGCAAAAACACATAAAAAAGGCACGTGTTCTGTTCTTGATACATTTTTGCATTTTTAATCTGCCCAGCAACAAGTTGGGCAAAACATATTTTTAAAAAAAACACATCAAAACCATGTCAAAATTTTCATGCAAAATGCACTGCAAAACAGACAAAACACAAACTGTATTGGTGTGAACCAGGCCTGAAGTTCATTGTAAACCCATCAAAAACACACGTGTTGCCTTTTGATACATTTGTTTTGTCACATGACCTGTGAAAAAAGCACCTTAAATGTGGTAAAATCAAGGGTAAAATTGCAGGAAAAATCACGGTAAAATCATGTGTTTTTTGGCGGCCATTATCGGCACCTTTTTTGCTATCTACAAAATGAAGAACACTATTTCGGCCGACATTCCAGCCACTGATATTGCGTACATCCTTACTGAAGACTAGTTCGGAGGGCGCCAAAGCTTATCTGTAGTTGGAAGGTATATTGGCTGAGCATACAAGTAATAATGCCGCCTATAAGCTGCAATATTTTGACCTTTGAGTCATGAAAGATCCAGTGGCTGAGTGATTGTTCTAATAGACAACCATGCTGTTATTGTGTTTACTGTTCCAAGCACTCTGGTGATTTCTCACACTGGCCTCTCATGGGGAAAACTAGAGCAATCCGCCTGGAAAAAAAAAGCTGATTGAATTCTCACTGGAAAAGATCAAGGACAGCCTGCAGACTTTGAAACATTCCCCCTATCATGCCAGGCTGGACCGCTCATAGGCTTTAGAGCAGGGGTGTCCAACCTGTGGCCCACGATGGCTATGCAGCCCAAAACAAAATCGTTAACATACTTAAAAATGTTGATTGATTTTTTTTTTTTTTTTTAATGTGTTTACACTTCACAAACGCATGCGGCCAAATAAAAATTTTACAGTGTCTCTTTACTTTTATAAGTTTTACCTTCCCAGAGAAAAATATCCCACTCTTCACGCTCACGCCTTATTCATGTCATCAGTTTTTGGCAGCTTCTCTGTTTGTAAGCAACAATTCTCAAGGTTGACACAGGAAGGGCAAAATTAAACCTAAAATATCTGATTAGGAATTCTATAAGAACTTCTACATCCATCGAACCAGATATTGATGCATGTCAAATATCGCACTAGTTTTATGTTGCCCTCTTTTACTTTTACAATAAAAAAATATTACTAAAAAATGAAGTTTTATTACTCACCATATACATGCTGGCAGGGGAACACATGTTCCTAACGGATCAGGAGGAGGGCAGGGAACTCACAGCTCAGGTGATTAATCCCCTCCAGGGACCCACGATAGACTCCAGCTGCCCTCCTAGACTGAGCCCAAGACCAGCAGGCCGGGGGTTAATAGGGCTTATGCCCTAGGCAAAATAGTGCGGCACAGCTCACCCAGCACTAACCCCCCCCAACTGGCATGGGCACCCCAAAAAAACCCCCAAAACACCACCAGGAAACTGCATATACTTAAGATGGCGACAGAGCCCACCCAGTAGGCCGCAAAGCTGCAGCCTAAATTTGCGGCTGGCCCAACCATGTGGTGAGCTATCCCTGGGAGACCTCCCCATGGTCTCCAAGATACATAAAAGATATTGGAAACCTATAGCAAAGAGGGGGTTTTATGCCCATAGGACTGCCCATAGGAGGTGCCGAGTTTTTTTTCTGCCTAGTGTCCTAATTCTGTAGGTGGGGCTATAAAACCCTGCCTGGTCATAGATAATGAAGAAGAGGCTGTGTCCATCAATGAATTCAGGGATTTTACAGTGAGTAACAAAAAATTCAATTTTTATTACTCAGGTACATTGTTTTCGTCAGTGATCGTTAACTTGAGATCTGCCAAACTTTTTCTGCTCATCAGCTATCCTTATTGCTAGTATATTTCATGTGTGGCTCAAGATGATTCCTCTGCATCTAATGTGGCCCAGGAAAGTCAAAAAGGTGGACATACCTGGTCTAGATGGTAGTTTGACAAGCAGGTACCACCTACCTGCCTTTAGGGCAGCACATCTTCTGAGCACTGTTGAATACACTGGTTGATGAGCAGGTTGGTTAGCAGGTCGCTGAGTTGACATGAGCCAACAGCCAGGTAAGGCAACTGGCTTGTAGTGTGGGGGCTGTAGTGAAGGACACCAGATAAGCACTTGCTTGTTCTAGGTTACTGACTTATTAAAGTGGACTTGGTTAAAAAAAAAAAAAAAAGCACTTGGCTTGGCACAAAAAAAAAAGCATCCTAATCTTAAAGCGGTTGTAAAGGCAGATGGTTTTTTACCTTAATTCATTCTCTGCATTAACCTCTTACCGTCTGGCCCATTGGCAATAAACAACCGGACAGGAGTGCTGTCGATGCGGGGGGGCGTTTCTAAACGTCCCGCTGCATCCATTCCCTGGGAGCGCGCGGCACCGTGATCTGTGTCCGGAGGACACAGCGGAACACCGATCGCTGTACGGGACCTCTGTTTGAGGTCCCAATTCATGTGATCACTGATTGGCCAATCAGTGATCACAATATTAGTAGTAAACAGATGTCACTTCCTGACCAGGGGCGGACTGACAACTCATGGGGCCCCCGGGCAATAGGGGATCATGGGGCCCCTGTGTCCTCGCCCACACTCACAAAAGCCTATGAAAAAGGTACCAGGGGCATCTCATGGGGCCCCCTACTGACCTCGGGCAGTGCCCGAGTTTCTAAATGGTCAGTCCGCCCCTGTTCCTGACATCAGTATTTACTTGTGAATTCTGTGAATGATCACAGAGGTTACATGGTACAAGGCTATTCACAACAGCCTTGTACCATGTGACAAGCTGTGACCAATCACAGCTTGCACAGTATTTCTCAATGGCTGCAGCAATGCAGCCAGAGAGAAATAAAAATGATTGCTTTTACATCCTTTATGGGTGTAAAAGCAACCAGTGTAATTAAAAAAAAAAAAAAAAAAGGAAAGGGAAAAAAAAAAAATCTTCATCACCCCCACAATGTCACTATTTTTGAAAAATTATAATTTTTGTTTTTCACCCCTTGGCGCTGGCGCCTGCTGGCCCTTTAAGAGTTCCATAAGCCGTGAGGCTGTGCGGGGTTTTAGGGTCATGTGACTGCCGTGATTCGCTATCACAGCGGTCACATGATTGAGAAAGGTTCTGATCGAAAGAGGAGATCAAGACCTTTCCGTGAGTACCGAACGTGTGTGCTGGGTAGCGCGCAGGGCGCGCACTCTCAGCACATATGTTTTTTTTAATAGACCCAGTTGCCGGGAGGCCGCACATTTATGTTCGGCCGGCGCCAAGAGGTTAAACTAATTTTGTTTTTGTTTTTTACCAAAAAGATATCTGAATACATTTTGGCCAAGATTTATGAAGAAAGGTTATTTATTTGCAAAATTTTATTTAAAAAAAACAACTTTTTTTCCAATTTTTTGGTCTTTTTCATTTTATATAGCAAAAAAATTTAAATCCCAGTGGTGAATAAATACCACCAAAATAAAGTTTTATCTGTCCCAAAAAAATGCGAAAAGTTTTATATGGGAACAGTGTTGCATGACCGCGCAATTGTCATTCAAAGTGTGATAGCACTGAAAGCTGAAAATGGGCCTGGACAGGAAGGGGGTGAAAGTGTCTGGACATGAAATGGTTGAGATAAAAAAAAACCTGTGTTCAGCTCCTCCCTAACTACTTGTCTGAGACGATCTTTAGCCAGCACTGTGCCTCAGAGCAGCATCTCTCTCACTCTCTGTCGCTCCTCACTGAACATGGAGGCAGTAGTGGGAACCATTGGCTCCTGCTGCTCTTAATCACAGTCTGTAAGAATTGAGACACAGAGCCTAGCTCGGGATCGAACCTGCACAAGTGCCCCGATAGCAAACTTCTTGCTTTCAGGGCACTTAAGAGGAGGGAGGAGCCAGGAGGAGGATTAGGGCTGCTCTGTGCAAAACCATTGCACAGGGAAGGTAAATATAACATGCTTTGTCATTTTAGAAAAAAAATGTTACCTTTTACAATCATTTTAACATGAGCAGGGCCCTCGGCTTAGGATCTAAGGGGGTCTACAGGGACACTGGTCTTCATTTGAAGACTAGCACAGGTACTCAAAAGCATCACAAGGTGCCTGTACCTAAAATGTAAATCATGGCACAAGATTAAAGATATTGTTCAGTAGAGAAACCCCTAGTACAAGAATTGAAAAAGGATTGTCACTGCAACTACATGTTTTATTAAAACAGTATTAAACCCTAAAGCAAGCATTAATTGTATTGCAGTTTACCAATTCTTAAACGTGATGGCTGCATTAGTTTTCTTTTTCAGGCTTTCTTCTATTTCATATGGTGATCCAGCCAGTAAGTCTGTTGTTCTTCAAAAGAACAAGATGTCCTGCAGATATGTATCAGTTACAGGGATGAGATAAACCATTTGCCACTGACAGGAGTGCTTACAATGGTCAGCTTTTATTTATTCATATAAAACGTTTATCTTACAAGGAAAAAACCTGATTGCTGTAACTTCTTACAAAGTATTATCAGGCGTTTGTCTTCAGTTTGTTAGTGTTCTAAATCTGCTAGTACACCTAACACTCCCCTCCCCCCCAGACTGACAATGCTGCTGTGCAAAGGTGTCCCCTGTGCTCCTTCATCCAGAGTGGGAGCACTCTAATACAGGAGGTGTGTTACTGGCCACATCACCATGTGAAAACAGAGGAGAAAAAAAGCTTAAAGAAAAAACTATTGCAGCCATGATTGTAAACTGCAATATATTACATTTTGGTTTTCGGTTTAATACCATTAAGTGTGGCTTTAAAATATTGTTTCAGCTTTAGCTGCACATGGGTGTTTAAAGTGAAAAGTGAATTTGCTTTTATCATGAGTGGAGAATTTCAACTGCTATAGTGGATTGTCTCACATAACTACAGAACAGCACAGAACTAGTCCTAAAGTGGTTCTAAAGGCTCACGGTTTTTTACCTTTCTGTGTGTAGCAGCCCCCCCCCCAGCACTTACCTGAGCCCCATCTCTAACCTGCTATGTCCACGAGAGCCTCAGTTCTCTGGAGAATGTGATTCCTGATTGGCTGAGGCAGCAGCAGGAGCCATTGGCTCCCACTGCTGTCAATCACACCTAGTAAACCAATCGGGAGGGAGGGGGCGGGCCCGAACATGGCTCCGTGTGTGAATGGACTCACAGAGCAGCGGCTCGGAAGCACGCCTGCTCGGGTGCCCCTATAGCAAGCTGCTTGCTGTTTGGGGCACCCGACAGGAGGAAGGGTCTAGGAGAGCCAGCTGGGAACCTGAGAAGAGAAGGATCCAGGCTGCTCTGTTGTGGTGTTTTTTGTTTTTTTTTTAACTGCCTCCCACCCGCCATATAAGGTAATGACGGGCGCAAGGTGGTTCTCTCGTTCTGGGAGGACGTCATATGGCGTCCTCCCATTCTAACCATGCATGCGCGGCTCCGGGAGCGTGCAGCACGGCGATCAGTGGTGCATTGTGTCTCTCGGACACAGCTGATCACCGATCAATAGAAAGAGCCGAAGATGTCGGCTCGGTCATGCGATCAGCTGTGTCCAATCACAGCTGATCACATGTAAATAGGGAAATGCCGGTTATCGGCATTTCTCTCCTCACGAGCTGTCACGCTGACAGGTCGTGAGGAGAGGAGAGCCGGCAATCGGCATTACTCAGAGGGGACATGTACACTGATCATCAGGGCACGGATGATCAGTGTGCCCTGATGATCAGTGTAGCCCCAGCAGTGCCACCTGCCAGCATCCATCAGTGCCACATCAATACAACATATCAGTTCCTACCAGTGCACATCAATGCCACATATCATTGCCCATCTGAGCTGCCTTGCAGTGCCATCTATCAGTGCCAGTCAGAGCCGCCTGTCAGTGTCGCCTATCAGTGCCATATATGAGTGCTGCCTTTCAGTGCCCATCAGTGATGCCTATCAGTGCCACCTACCAGTGCCTCCTTATCAGTGCCCATCACTGCAGCCTCATTCCTAGATTGTAAGCTCGTAAGAGTAGGGCCCTCTTACCCCTCGTACGTTGTTTGTTGTTGTTGTACTGTGCCATGTATTGTCCCCCCTATTGTACAGCGCTGAGCAAATCCTTTGGCGCTATATAAACTCGTAGTAATAATAATAATAATAATTAGCGCACATCAGTGAAGGAAAAAAAATCACTTATTTACAAAATTTTATAACAAAAACTAAGAAAAAACTTTTTTTTTTTCAAAATTTTCAGTGGTTTTTGGTTTGTTTAGCAGAAATTAAAAAAAACCCAACCAGAGGTGATTGAGTACCACCAAAAGGAACCTCTATCTGTCTAAAAAAAAAAATGATAAAAATTTCATATGTGTACACTGTTAAAAGTAAGGCTGTACTATTATCACAATTAAAGGGAGAAGATTTTAATCCTTCCAAATTTTAATTCTTGACTGGCTCACTTTGAATGTCAGTGTTGATTTATGTGGGGATGGACAAACCACGTCATCTGTTTTCCATGGATAATTATTAAATTATAGTACTGATAGGTTGCCAAATTTGTGTCCTTCAAGGAGCAAACATGGATCTCTGTGCATGCTTCAAACAAGGTTTAACTTCGTTATTTGCGCTTCATTTACTTTTTTTTTTCTTTTACAGTCTGTCATAAATCCATGCAACATGTCATCGTGGAGAACAGTGCCTGGAAGAAAGGAAGCAATTTAAAATAACAGGCATTGTCCTGGTTAACAAAAACAGTTGCCACTATGGAAAAGATGACGTTCATTTCTCAAAACCACACTACTGATAATTCAATTAAAAAGTAAGATTGGGATTAATTGTGATTTTAATTGTACAGACATTTCTTATATGTACGCAGCCTGTTGGTTTGTTGTTCCAGGAATATGCCATTGTGTTAACCTTTAATTGTCCTGACTGGATGCCCATTGGAATACAAACAAATACATTTAAAGATATGCTTGTCTGTGAAACCTATGAACAGTTTATTTTATCTGTCACCCCTGGTTCCTAATGTATGAAGTGTTTTTCTTGGAGTCCATTGAGGGACATAGGAAGTTGTAAAGTGATATTAATGGCTTCTATTTTTTCCCCTAAAGTGTGAAAAAGGTTTATACTTGCCTGCACTGTGCAAGCATATTGCACAGAGCGGCCCCTTACCACATCTGAAATCCCCCGCTGGCACTTTCTGCTCCTCCTCTCCTGTGTGTGCCCCCACATTAAGCTAGAGGTCACACATGCGGGCAGACCTCTGAACCGGGGTGTGTGCATTCATAATCACATACAGCAGGTTAAAATAAGTATTGAACACGTCACCATTTTTCTCAGTGTATATATATTTCTACAGGTGCTATGGATCTGAAATGTTCACCACATGTCAGAAACAATCTATGCAATCCATACATACAAAGAAACCAAAACAAATAAGTTCAGAAATTACGTTATGTGTAATAAAATGGAATGACACAGGGAAAAAGTATTGAACAATCTATTAAATGTATTTAGTACTTTGTACAAAATCCATTGTTGGTAATGACAACTTCAAAATGCCTCTTGTAGGAGGAAGCTAGTCGCATATATTGCTCAGGTGTGATTTTGACCCATTCTTCCACACAGTCTTCAAATCTTGAAGGTTCCACGGGCCTCTTCTATGAACTCTGATCTTTAGTTCTTTCTATTGGATCCAACTCAGGTGATTGGCTGGGCCATTCTAGCAGGTTTATTTTCTTTCTTTAAAACCAGTTGAGAGTTTTATTAGCTTTGTGTTTGGGATCATTGTCTTGCTGAAATGTCCACCCTTGTTTCATCCTCATCATCCTGGTAGATGGCAGAAGATTTTTATCAAGAA